TGCCACTCGTTTTTAGGGTCTTGGTGTGCCCCGGCCTGATCGTTACTGGACGTCTCTCGACCCTGGTTTCATTGTTTCCGATGGTAGTCATTGTGTGATGCTGGCGTTCCCTGAGTTTAGGACGGTCAGGTCTGCACAGGGGACGAATCTGGTCATGTACAGGCACAGGGCAGACTCAAACGATCTCCTCGTAAATACAGTCCCAGGGGTTTGACAAAAGGTCAGCTCCGGTTGTATTGGAAAACGGAAGAGACTACCCCCGCGCCGGTCACATTGTCCTTTCTCACCCTGCTAGCGTCACCAACGGGATTACATTCTTAAATAACAAAAAGTTTTTCGGTGTGTATTCGTTTATACTATTGGGAAAGACTTCTAGTTTTATTGGGGGAGACACAAGAAGTGTGTCTTTTTACAATTGAGTCCGTTTATATAATCTATTGTGAATAAATACTTTAGTTATTTTTAGTTTATTGGAGAGACCCAAGGAAGTGTCTTTTTTTCAGTCCTTTATTACATTAATTGTCATAATACCTTTAGTTATTATGGGGTTTATTGGGAGAGACCCAAGAAGTGTCTTTTTCTCAGTCCTTTTATACATTATTGTCTGATACTTATGTACTTATGGTTTCATTGGGAGAGAGACCCAAGAAGTGTGTCTTTTTTTCATCAGTCCTTATACATTATTGTCATAATACTTATGGGTTTATTGGGAGAGAGACCCAAGAAGTGTCTTTGTTACGAAAATAACCACGACACGTGGTTATGAAACCATTGTGTCAAGTCGAAGTCAACAGTGTCGTTTTAGAGAATTTACTGAGTAGTACTCGTCGAGAGAGTTTCAAGGAAACAACAAGAAAGGAATATCAGGTCAAGCACATCAAGGTCCATAGATAATACCGGATGCATCCGCGCTTGGTGTGGTCGACAAACGAGGAGTTAGAGTAGTTGAAGGGGGACTTTTTGTGTTTCGTGTGCGTCGCGACTCTTTGCATTTTGACCCCACGGGGTGAGATCTTGCGTGGAGCCCCAGATCGAGGGAGATTATCAGTGGTCTTGTATGTCTTCCATTTTCTAATAATTGCTCCCACAGTTGATTTCTTCACACCAAGCTGCTTACCTATTGCAGATTCAGTCTTCCCAGCCTGGTGCAGGTCTACAATTTTGTTTCTGGTGTCCTTTGACAGCTCTTTGGTCTTGGCCATAGTGGAGTTTGGAGTGTGACTGTTTGAGGTTGTGGACAGGTGTCTTTTATACTGATAACGACTTCAAACAGGTGCCATTAATACAGTTAACAAGTGGAGGACAGAGGAGGCTCTTAAAGAAGAAGTTACAGGTCTGTGAGAGCCAGAAATCTTATTTGTTTGTAGGTGACAAAATACTTATTTTACCAAGGAATTTACCAATTCATTCATTAAAAATTCTACAATGTGATTTTCTGGATTCTTTCCCCATTTTAGTCTCTCATAGTGGAAGTGTACCTAGGATGAAAATTACAGGCCTCTCTCATCTTTTTAAGTGGGAGAACTTGCACAATTGGTGGCTGACTAAATACTTTTTTGCCCCACTGTACATACCGCCATACTGACACAAATATGTACTGGAAACCCTTCAATGTAATGAGTCAAGTCTCACATACAGCTGCTCATAGGACGGTGAATTCTTGATTCCAGTAAAGTAATTCCAGCCAATATGAGAAAAATAAATCAGGTTTTAGGTGCACTATGCTCTTTGGGAGGTTTTGGTAGTTGTATTTTCACTAGAATTTTAATATATCATGGATATATTGATCGATAAATGACACGGAATAGTAATATGTGTGTTCTAAAAAAAGCAATACCTCAATATTGAGCAATACAATACATAAGTTAAACTAAAGCCATCAAACTGTAGGAAAGATGTATAGAAAGAACAACACAGACAAGGGCCAGTAGAAGATACGTGAGAGGTAGAAACTCGACACCACTTGTTTATCCACATGCTGCAAAGGATTTACAGAGCCAGGAGTAGTTCAGGACAGACCTGTTGTTGAGCTGTAGAGCCTCTGCTTGCCTGTGGCACATTTATAGGTGTTTTGCTGCCCTCTACTGGAAGCCAAAGTAAGTGCGAGGATAATTTTACAACCTGGTTCTCAAAGATGAATCCTACAACTGAAACATATTACTCCTATCAGCAGAGAAACAATACTGTAAAGTACAGTAACATACGAAAATATATACAATACAGAATTAGCGGTACTAAATTATGATGGTATAAAGGATGGTATAATTGGAGAAAAGAAATGTGCCACTTCATGACTCTTCTCATTTACAATTCAGGGGTTAACAAGATTAACACAAGTTTAACACAACGGTTCACAACCTTCCTGGACTTTGGCTCCTCAGTAACACTAAACTAAGTTAATGAAACAGTACGTATACATGTAATACTTTACATACATTTATCTGATAATAGTTATGAACTTTTAATTAAGTTATCATTAATAGCATGACCAACTTGTAATGGAGTATGTTTTACAAGTTTATGTTTTAAACTAAAAACAAATAGTGTCTAAAAGGTATCCACCCTGAGTTTATAAAAGCCTCAGACAAGGACCTCTCTAATAAATAATACATAACGATTCGGCCCTTATGAATAGTGTATGACTTTCTCTCCAGAGAGACACATGGAAGCACAGGAGATTTACTGTTACTGCCTTGAGGTGTGCTAATAGTGTGGAATAGACATGGTGTGAAGGAAGTCTTGTTAGAAATGTTATCAACCTGACAACAGCGGCCGGGTTTGTATCGGACTCACGACCCTTTGCTCTATGTCATGCCCTTTCTCTCCACACGTCGTAGCTATCTTCAGTTTTAATATATATTATAAAAGGGAAAAAGCTCCCAAAAATGTTTTGTCCATCGCTTTTAACCATAAAAGGTTCATCTGCTGGTTTTCATACTGGAGAACGGGAATAATTTCAATCTTATAATTGCATAATGGTTGTGGGGGGAAAAAACAAGATTTATTTGCAATATTTTCTGCCAATTTCCCTCGAAATGTGGTTAAATGTGTAATACA